AGGAATTTCTGTTTGAACATTGTTGATTTTGAGGATTTTATATCTCTGTTTGTTTGTCTGTTCATCTATCTGTCCATGCTGGCAAATTTGACTGGCCATTGGCCACTGGCCACCTTTTAAACTCCTCTCTTATACTGCGTTCAGTTTTGCATTTTAAGCTTAATGATGATCATAAATGTGTGTATTTAATTTACACCTGAAAATTGGATTCGAAATATCATGTTCGTTTGTAGTGTTTTGTGTTTTAGCAGTGTGAAGGAGATGTTTAGGTATGCGAGCTTATTTGGCTGGCAGACGTTTGAAAGAATACAAAAGTGAATTTTGAAGAATTAATGTAAAAGCTGTTCAACTCAGCATAAAACATTTAAACTTTAATCACAGCTTTATGATATCAGAGTTCTTAACTTAAGCTTATCATAGTTTAATGATTATTAAAAACAAAATCATTCCTTTAAACATCTGCTAGCTGTTTATTTAATACCCCTGACATTGACTTTATAAGTTTTTTGTAGCTTTGGATATTCATTTGTTTTGTCTTTTTTTTTCTGGTTTAAAGCGTCATATTAAATTATGTGCTACATTAATGAACCTTTAACCACTTTTCTTCCTTAAAATAAAAATTTAACATTGAAAAAATCTTACGAATTTGAAACTCTCCACTACACCACCAACCAACACGAGTGATATAAAGCGCTATAAAAATCTTGTCATAAATTAGCATTGATAGTTTAACTTTTTTGTCATTGTCTTGTTCAAAAAAGTATTTTGTCTTTTTTTTTGTGGGTATTAATTTTGCATGTTTCAATAACATTTGTTTCATATAAAAATTTGTTACTTTAACGTTTATTTTGGGGGGAATTTTTGTTTGGTTTTCATTTTCGTTTGAAAAATGAAAGTTTTTACGTTTGTTAAACTCAGATTACGTGTTTATTTTATGTTTTGTTTATAATTACAATTTTTTTAGCATGTGTCATCCACATAGATTCAATGTCAAGAAGACTGACTGCATATATACATACATACATATGTATGTACAAATCTTTTTTTGGTTTTAGTATTTTATTTCGTTTATAAAATTCATTAAACTTGAAGCAAATTTTATGCGATCTTAAAAGTTAAAGAGATTAATGTTTAAACAGAAAGATATTAATATTTCTATTTAATTAGATTGCGCATTTTAAATTTTGTTTTAACAGTATTAGCCCGCCCTGCTAATAAAAACTTTGGAACCAGATATAATTGAAACAATGAAACAATTAATTGAACTTTTTTGGTAATGAAGTCATATTAGCTCTAATTTAATCTAATTAAGTTTGGTGGTTAGTTTATGTAGGTCTAATATTGTACCAGAATTTCATCCACTCTATGGCACATCTGTCTAACCGAAATTTCTAATAGGGGCATAAAAAGAGTTTACAATCAAACATAGTCAGGGTATCTATCAGTTCTATCAGTTCAGTTCAGTTCTAGTTCAGTTCTAGTTTCAGTTCAGGTTCAGTTCTAGTTCAGTTCCTAGTTCAGTTCTAGTTCAGTTCTAGTTCAGTTTCTAGTTCAGTTCGTCAGTTCTAGTTCAGTCAGTTCAGTCTAGTTCATTCTAGTTCAGTTCTATTCTAGTTCAGTTCTAGTTCAGTCTAGGTTCAGTTCTAGTTCAGTTCTAGTTCAGTTCTAGTTCAGTTCTAGTTCAGTTCTAGTTTCAGTTTCTAGTTCAGTTTCTAGTTCAGTTCTAGTTCAGTTCTAGTTCAGTTCTAGTTCAGTTCTAGTTCAGTTCTAGTTCAGTTCTAGTTCAGTTCTAGTTCAGTTCTAGTTCAGTTCTAGTTCAGTTCTAGTTCAGTTCTAGTTCAGTTCTAGTTCAGTTCTAGTTCAGTTCTAGTTCAGTTCTAGTTCAGTTCTAGTTCAGTTCTAGTTCAGTTCTAGTTCAGTTCTAGTTCAGTTCTAGTTCAGTTCTAGTTCAGTTCTAGTTCAGTTCTAGTTCAGTTCTAGTTCAGTTCTAGTTCAGTTCTAGTTCAGTTCTAGTTCAGTTCTAGTTCAGTTCTAGTTCAGTTCTAGTTCAGTTCTAGTTCAGTTCTAGTTCAGTTCTAGTTCAGTTCTAGTTCAGTTCTAGTTCTAGTTCAGTTCTAGTTCAGTTCTAGTTCAGTTCTAGTTCAGTTCTAGTTCAGTTCTAGTTCAGTTCTAGTTCAGTTCTAGTTCAGTTCTAGTTCAGTTCTAGTTCAGTTCTCGTCAGTATCTAGTTCAGTCTAGTTCAGTTCTTAGTTCAGTTCTAGTTCAGTTCTAGTTCAGTTCTAGTTCAGTTCTAGTTCAGTTCTAGTTCAGTTCTAGTTCAGTTCTAAGTTCAGTTCTAGTTCATGTTCTAGTTCAGTTCTAGTTCAGTTCTAGTTCAGTTCTAGTTCAGTTCTAGTTCAGTTCTAGTTCAGTTCTAGTTAAGTTCTAGGTTCAGTTCTAGTTCAGTTCTAGTTCAGTTCTAGTTCAGTTCTAGTTCAGTTCTAGGGTCAGTTCTAGTTCAGTTCTAGTTAGGTTCTAGTCATTCTAGTTCAGTTCTAGTTCAGTTCTAGTTCAGTTCTAGTTCAGTTCTAGTTCAGTTCTAGTTCAGTTCTAGTTCAGTTCTAGTTCAGTTCTAGTTCAGTTCTAGTTCAGTTCTAGTTCAGTAGTTCTAGTTCAGTTCTAGTCAGTTAGTTCAGTTCTAGTTCAGTTCAGTTCTAGTTCAGTCTAGTTCAGTTCTAGGTTCAGTTCTAGTTCAGTTCTAGTTCAGTTCTAGTCAGTTCTAGTTCAGTTCTAGTTCAGTCCTAGTTCAGTTCTAGTTCAGTTCTAGTTCAGTTCTAGTTCAGGTTCTAGTTCAGTTCTAGTTCAGTTCTAGTTCAGTTCTAGTTCAGTTCTAGTTCAGTTCTAGTTCAGTTCTAGTTCAGTTCTAGTCAGTTCTAGTTCAGTTCTAGTTCAGTTCTAGTTCAGTCTAGTTCAGTTCTAGTTCAGTTCTAGTTCAGTTCTAGTATCAGTTCTAGTTCAGTTCTAGTTCAGTTCTAGTTCAGTTCTAGTTCAGTCTAGTTCAGTTCTAGTTCAGTTCTAGTTCAGTTCTAGTTCAGTTCTAGTCAGTTCTAGTTCAGTTCTAGTTCAGTTCTAGTTCAGTTCTAGTTCAGTTCTAGTTCAGTTTAGTTCAGTTCTAGTTCAGTTCTAGTTCAGTTCTAGTTACAGTTCTGTTCAGTTCTAGTTCAGTTCTAGTTCAGTTCTAGTCAGTTCTAGTTCAGTTCTAGTTCAGTTCTAGTTCAGTTCTAGTTCAGTTCTAGTTCAGTTCTAGTTCAGTTCTAGTTCAGTTCTAGTTCAGTCTAGTTCATTTAGTTCAGTTCTAGTTCAGTTCTAGTTCGTTCTAGTTCAGTTCTAGTTCAGTTTCTAGTTCAGTTCTAGTAACTTCAGTTCTAGTTCAGTTCTAGTTCAGTTCTAGTTCAGTTCTAGTTCAGTTCTAGTTCAGTTCTAGTTCAGTTCTAGTTCAGTTCTAGTTCAGTTCTAGTTCAGTTCTAGATCAGTTCTAGTTCAGTTCTAGTTCAGTTCTAGTTCAGTTCTAGTTCAGTTCTAGTTCAGTTCTAGTTCAGTTCTAGTTCAGTTCTAGTTCAGTTCTAGTTCAGTTCTAGTTCAGTTCTAGTTCAGTTCTAGTTCAGTTCTAGTTTAGTTCTAGTTCAGTTCTAGTTCAGTTCTAGTTCAGTTCTAGTTCAGTTCTAGTTCAGTTCTAGTTCAGTTCTAGTTCAGTTCTAGTTCAGTTCTAGTTCAGTTCTAGTTCAGTTCTAGTTCAGTTCTAGTTCAGTTCTAGTTCAGTTCTAGTTCAGTTCTAGTTCAGTTCTAGTTCAGTTCTAGTTCAGTTCTAGTTCAGTTCTAGTTCAGTTCTAGTTCAGTTCTAGTTCAGTTCTAGTTCAGTTCTAGTCAGTTCTAGTTCCAGTTCTAGTTCCAGTTCTAGTTCAGTTCTAGGTTCAGTTCTAGTTCAGTTCTAGTTCAGTTTAGTTCTTTCAGTTCAGTTCAGTTCTAGTTCAGTTCTAGTTCCGTTCTAGTTTCAGTTCTAGTTCATAGTTCAGTTCTAGTTTCAGTTTCTAGTCAGTTCTGTTCAGTTCTAGTTCAGTTCTAGTTCAGTTCTAGTTCAGTTTCTAGTTCAGTTCTAGTTCAGTTCTAGTTCAGTTCTAGTTCAGTTTCTAGTTCAGTTCAGTTCAGTTCTAGTTTCAGTTCTAGTTCAGTTCTAGTCAGTTTAGTTTCAGTTCTAGTTCAGTTCTAGTTCAGTTCTAGTTCAGTTCTAGTTCCTTTAGTCAGTTCTAGTTCAGTTTAGTTCAGTTCTTAGTTCAGTTCTAGTTCAAGTTCTAGTCAGTTCAGTTCTAGTTCAGTTCTAGTTCAGTTCTAGTTCAGTTCAGTCAGTTCTAGTTCAGTTCTAGTTCAGTTCTAGTTCAGTTCTAGTTCAGTTCTAGTTCAGTTCTAGTTCAGTTCTAGTTCAGTTCTAGTTCAGTTTATAGTTCTAGTTCCGTTCTAGGTTCTAGTTCAGTAGTTCAGTTCTAGTTCAGTTCTAGTTCAGTTCTAGTTCAGTTCTAGTTCAGTTCTAGTTTCAGTTCTAGTTCAGTTCTAGTTCAGTTCTAGTTCAGTTCTAGTTCAGTTCTAGTTCAGTTCTAGTTCAGTTCTAGTTCAGTTCTAGTTCAGTTCTAGTTCAGTTCTAGTTCAGTTCTAGTTCAGTTCTAGTTCAGTTCTACGTCAATTTTTCGTCGGTTCTAGTTCAGTTCTATCAACTTATTTCCATTGTATTTTTTCATAAAATGGACTTGCCGTATTCACACTCTATTTCAGTTATTCTTGCTTTATGGAACATTTTCTTAATGTTTATTGTTTATCCAGTAATAAACATAAATATGTAAAATTTTATTGTCAATTTGCCATCTCTAATCAAATTTGAATTCAGTTATTTTAAAATATAAAACAAACAGAAATGTTAAAAATATTTTTTATTTCTTTAATACTTCTGGAAATACCAACTTCACTGCGAGCCAAATTAAAAACCTGTGACTTCAGTGACTGCAATCACGAAGGCCTTTGTACTCTCAATGAACAAAACGAAAAGTTATGCTCTTGCATAGGAACAAAATATTTCCAAGGACCCACCTGTTCAGAAGCTATAGATCTATGTCAAACTGAAAATCCCTGTCAAAATGGTGGCATTTGTAAACCTGTAATAGGGCAGTTTATATGTGAAAATTGTAATTCGGGTTTTGGTGGGCTATGGTGTGATTTAGAAGTTGCTAATGTTTTCGAAAATATGTTGTTGTACTTTAATCATTATGGTTATTATGGAGAAAAACACAAATTCATTATAATGTTGGAAGACTTGGGGGAAAGAGCGTTTTCTTTGGAATTTGTGGCCGAAAATTATGCCATTGAAAGTTTTGAGACAAAACTTGGTAAAATAGAAAAATGGGTTTATACGAAAGATTTGCCAAGTGTTATAAAAAAGTTGGGCATAAGATATTATCAGGATATGCCTTATACTAAGGGCTATTACCATATAGCAAAGGAAACCTTTTGGGACTTGGGTCAATTGGCTTTAACCTTACGCTGTTATGATACTGAAACAGCAGCTTTATTTTTCTATCAAAATCAATTTGATATATTGATAACACAACGTAAGGTATCATGTGTTCCGGAGTTACATTTTATTCATGGTGCAAATCCTCTGGAGTCTTTGATGGTGGATATAGCCAATTATAATAATTTTGAAATTATTCTAAAGAAAAGATGTTTCGAAAACTCTGTTACCAACTATCAGTGGAGTGTTTTCAATAGTATCGGTTCGGTGAAACTGCATGATTTTGGTTCTACTAAAGAACTTATTCTGAAGATTCAACCCTATAAATTATGGTTTAATTATCATGGTGAGGTGATGTCTTCTTATAGTATAGTGGTCAAGATGGTGGAAGAACGTGGAGGAAAAAGGAGTGAAAGTCAAACTAGAGTAAGTTCAAATATAGGAATTATTTATATAGAGGATTTTTAAATTGTTTATTATTCAGTGCTTTATATTCGTTTTACCCAAACCGGTGACTGCTTTAATAAAAGGTGGCAATTATCGAGAAATTGGTGTTAATCAAGACTTTACTTTGGATGCTTCAAACAGTCGAGACTTCGCTTTAGCTCCCAATGTTTGGCAGGATGTATTTTATAAATGGGATTGTGTTTCAGAAGATGATTTTAGTTCGGTTTATTGTAAAAATGATATGAGTTCATGTAAGTTTTAAACCAAAATTAAGTAAGTTTGTTTTATTCGGCTATGTCGAATTTAGTATAATCACCATATGTCGTAAACTTAAAGTTAATTTCGGAAAGTGGCCATATGTATGTATATATGAACTTAGTTGTAATGGACTGATCATTTTGGTATATTAACCACGAGTTAATAATTTTTTAAATGAATTTTGTAATCATATCGATATTTAGCCTTTAAAGGGGGCTGCAGTCAAGAATGAACCGAAGTGGCTAACATAAGTAAATTTTTCCGAATTACCTTAAGACCATTATTTTTGAACAATTTGTTCAGTATTTGCCACTTAATTTTCTCCTATTTTTCAAAATGGTATGACCAAAATGTCCACCTTTGACCCCTCTAAGTCCGACAGTACTTGACCTGTTATTGTATTTTTCAGATGTAGACCTGATATTGGAGGTTTTAGCCATTGTGGACCGATAATTAATTAATTGGGCGATGGTATTGTATAGTAGGTATGACCCGTTAGTAGTTAGTTAGTTAGTTAGTTAGTTAGTTAGTTAGTTAGTTAGTTAGTTAGTAGTTAGTTAGTTAGTTAGTTAGTTAGTTAGTTAGTTAGTTAGTTAGTTAGTTAGTTAGTTAGTTAGTAGTTAGTTAGTTAGTTAGTTAGTAGTTAGTTAGTTAGTTAGTTAGTTAGTTAGTTAGTTAGTTAGTTAGTTAGTTAGTTAGTAGTTAGTTAGTTAGTAGTTAGTTAGTTAGTAGTTAGTTAGTAGTTAGTTAGTTAGTTAGTTAGTTAGTTAGTTAGTTAGTAGTTAGTTAGTTAGTTAGTTAGTTAGTTAGTTAGTTAGTTAGTTAGTTAGTTAGTTAGTTAGTTAGTTAGTTAGTTAGTTAGTTAGTTAGTTAGTTAGTTAGTTAGTTAGTTAGTTAGTTAGTTAGTTAGTTAGTTAGTTAGTAGTTAGTTAGTTAGTTAGTTAGTTATTTAGTTAGTTAGTTAGTTAGTTAGTTAGTTAGTTTAGTTAGTTAGTTAGTTAGTTAGTTAGTTAGTTAGTTAGTTAGTTAGTTAGTAGTTAGTTAGTAGTTAGTTAGTAGTTAGTTAGTTAGTTAGTTAGTTAGTTAGTAGTTAGTTAGTTAAGTTAGTTAGTAGTTAGTTAGTTAGTAGTTAGTTAGTAGTTAGTTAGTTAGTTAGTTAGTTAGTTAGTTAGTTAGTTAGTTAGTTAGTTAGTTAGTTAGTTAGTTAGTAGTTAGTTAGTTAGTTAGTTAGTTAGTTAGTTAGTTAGTTAGTTTAGTTAGTTAGTTAGTTAGTTAGTTAGTAGTTAGTTAGTTAGTTAGTAGTAGTTAGTTAGTAGTAGTTATTAGTTAGTTAGTTAGTTAGTAGTTAGTTAGTTAGTTAGTTAGTTAGTTAGTTAGTTAGTTAGTTAGTTAGTTAGTTAGTTAGTTAGTTAGTTAGTTAGTTAGTAGTTAGTTAGTTAGTTAGTAGTTAGTTAGTTAGTTAGTTAGTTAGTTAGTTAGTTAGTAGTTAGTTAGTTAGTTAGTTAGTTAGTTAGTTAGTTAGTTAGTTAGTTAGTTAGTTAGTTAGTTAGTTAGTTAGTTAGTTAGTTAGTTAGTTAGTTAGTTAGTTAGTTAGTTAGTTAGTTAGTTAGTTAGTTAGTTAGTTAGTTAGTTAGTTAGTTAGTTAGTTAGTTAGTTAGTAGTTAGTTAGTTAGTAGTTAGTTAGTTAGTTAGTTAGTTAGTTAGTTAGTTAGTTAGTTAGTTAGTTAGTTAGTTAGTTAGTAGTTAGTTAGTTAGTTAGTTAGTTAGTTAGTTAGTTAGTTAGTTAGTTAGTTAGTTAGTTAGTTAGTTAGTTAGTTAGTTAGTTAGTTAGTTAGTTAGTTAGTTAGTTAGTTAGTTAGTTAGTTAGTTAGTTAGTTAGTTAGTTAGTTAGTTAGTTAGTTAGTAGTTAGTTAGTTAGTTAGTTAGTTAGTTAGTTAGTTAGTTAGTTAGTTAGTTAGTTAGTTAGTTAGTAGTTAGTTAGTTAGTAGTTAGTTAGTTAGTTAGTTAGTTAGTTAGTTAGTTAGTTAGTTAGTTAGTTAGTTAGTTAGTTAGTTAGTTAGTTAGTTAGTAGTTAGTTAGTTAGTTAGTTAGTTAGTTAGTTAGTTAGTTAGTTAGTTAGTTAGTTAGTTAGTTAGTAGTAGTTAGTTAGTTAGTTAGTTAGTTAGTTAGTTAGTTAGTTAGTTAGTTAGTTAGTTAGTTAGTTAGTTAGTTAGTTAGTTAGTTAGTTAGTAGTTAGTTAGTAGTTAGTTAGTTAGTTAGTTAGTTAGTTAGTTAGTTAGTTAGTTAGTTAGTTAGTTAGTTAGTAGTTAGTTAGTGTAGTTAGTTAGTTAGTTAGTTAGTTAGTTAGTTAGTTAGTTAGTTAGTTAGTTAGTTAGTTAGTTAGTTAGTTAGTTAGTTAGTTAGTTAGTAGTTAGTAGTTAGTTAGTTAGTTAGTTAGTTAGTTAGTTAGTTAGTTAGTTAGTTAGTTAGTTAGTTAGTTAGTTAGTTAGTTAGTTAGTTAGTTAGTTAGTTAGTTAGTTAGTTAGTTAGTTAGCTTAGTTAGTTAGTTAGTTAGTGTTAGTTAAGTAGTTAGTTAGTTAGTTAGTTAGTTAGTTAGTTCGGACTGGAGGACTAGAGAATACCAACTAGCTGGATATGTGGAACTAAGGTTCAACCCGACCCATAGCACATACCCTTTTGTGAATCATACGCACAACTTTTCGATGCCTTTAAAATTAACATTTAAGTCAATACTTGATTCTTAAAATCGGTCATCTCTTTTATTTTCTCTTTACAGCTTCAATCTTAAGCATAAAATCCGGTTACCTACAACTCCATACTACCTATACGTTTACTTTAACCATAAATTCCAAAATAAATAAATTTGTATCGGATCAGAAAGCTCAAATAGTTAAAATAATGGAAAACCCCCAGTATAGACCTGAAATGTTTAGTATAGACCTGAAATGTTTACGTAATTGTGAACGTAATCAATTTATACCAGGAGATATCTTACACTTACAAGCAGTAGCCCTAGACAAGGCACTATCCAATAAAGCCACTTTTCAGTGGTTACTCGAGGAACAAGTTATAGGAAAATTAGAGCATTTACTGTATGAAACCCAACAAGACTCCAAAACCCTTTTAATACACTTATTAGTACAGGATCAAGCTTTAATTGGTAAAGCCCAACAAACTTATGAAGTGAATTCAGCACCTCACAATGGTTCCTGTTATATAGAGCCCTCAGTGGGAGAAGCTTTCTTTACAGATTTCCATATAAAATGTCAAAATTATGTGGACACAGACACACCCTTAAATTATGAATATATACAGGAAAACGGATTTCCTTTGCAGCGCACCAACGAGGCCGATATCCATATAAAGCTGGCTCAGTGTAGTAAAGTTATAATCAAAATATGTGATCAATTTCAGGCCTGCTCAGAATATCAGGTAAAAGTAGAGGTTAAGGCATTAGAAGAGGTAAATGATGTGGAAAATTTTATTAAAAGTAAAGAAGTTGATTTTAAACAACTTTTGCTAAAAGGAGATATTCTCACCGCCCTGATTTTATTGAAATCAGTAACCAAATCTGTTAAAACTATAAAAGATCTGGAGGTGATAGAAAAAGAAATGGATATTTATCAGATCAAAACTTTATTAGAGATTGAGCAAATGATGGAAATTAGCAAAAATTTGCTAAAAAATAATTTGCCTTTGACGTCAGCAAAAGCAAATGTTTTTAAAAAATATTTTCTGAAATTACAAAAGGGTTTTAAGAGAATTCTGAAAGATGAAGAAATTTTAACATTTAAGAGATTACCTTATGAAAAATCTAGCCAGGAATTATTACAAATTATGCAATTATTTGCGCAAACCTGGGAAACTATAATACCAGTTCAAGTTATGCCAGAAACAGCAGTTACTTCTTGGGATCCCTTACAGGAGATATATCCGGTTTTAGAGGATTTTGATATTAATATAGCACAACAATTGAAAAATTGGCTAGAGAGCTCGAGAAATCTATTAGATTGTTTTGATTTTATGTTAGAGGGAGCTAAACAGTTATACGCCCCCTGGGAACAGATTCTTTCTATAGAGAAGAATAATTTGTATCTGAAGATGTGGGCTTTTGATAATAGCAGTAAACAGGAAATAGAAATTAATAATGATCAAATTAAAGTTTTACTAAATGAGGCCTTTATCAAGGAATTACAAGAAAACTTTCAAGATACCAACATACTAGTGCAAATGGCCTCTCTTAACTCAAATCCTTTTTGGTGGTTTCCCAGTGAAAAGCCTTTAAGTAGTGAGGTCTTTTTCTTTACAGCTGTAAGTAGAAAATCTAGCAAAACTTTGAATAGTTTAAAAAATCCTTTTCAATTTCAATTACTACTAAAATCGGAGCAAACTGACTATAGTTTAGTTAAGGGCATTATAAAAAACTCTTTACATATGCCTGTCTATAAACTAAAACTACCGGCCAATGCTGTATTGATCATAACTTTTGTTAAATGCGAAAAACCTTTAAAGTTTTTAGCACAAATCGAGCAACCACCTTCAAGCTTTAAAGTTCTTAAAATAGGTCATGTTATAGATGCTTTAAAAGATCAGCAAACTTTTATTTTCCCTAATCCCTTAAGTAGAAATATACCAACCTTTTTAGCCATATTAATGGATACTTTAAGCGAAAATATAACATTTTCATTTTACACTGTAGTCAGAGAATGTTTATATTGGGACTTTTCTCTAACCGATCCTCAATGGTCCTCTCAGGGTTGTAGACCTAAAGTGGAAATTGAAGATAAGAACACATTAACCTGCTATTGTCAGCATTTTTCAGCATTTGCGGGCTCAACCTATCAGATCACAGTGCAAGAGGATTTGAAGGAAAGAATACTTTTAAAAGAATTGAGTCTTAACTGGTTTTTAATAGGATTTTACTTGATCTTAATAATCATAGGTCTCTTCATGGTATTACTAAACTTAAATCAGTTTCAAAATAAAACTGAATATTTGCCCATAAATTATTCTAATCTGACAAACCCTGATATAGAAGTACATATTTTTACCGGTTCCCATTGGAATGCGGGCTCTACTGCCAATATAACTTTAAGATTTATATCCTCTAAAGGACCCTTTTCGTTAACCATCTATCAAAATCCTCAAAAACCTTTTCTAACCAGAAACTCTCAATACAAATTACTACTCAGCTCCCAAGATATTCAGCTGCCCCTAAAACTTAACATGACCAATGATCTAAGTGGGCGTTATCCCTCCTGGTATTGTCATAAAATTCACATAACAAATCTAAAAACTCAAGAGCAACAAATTCTTCTCATCGATCAGTGGCTTAATCAACAACCTCTAGAAATAATTACTTTGAAAACACAAAGTTTTAAAAACAGATTTCAGGAAAACTTAGCCAATATCTATACAAATTGGTTTAAATTTCAAGCCATATGGGGTTGTTGGCTTTATAAGGACTTAAATCGTTTAGAACGTTGCTGTCTATGGTGGTGTCAGCTTATGGTACCGTTAGTTTTAGTGGCAGAATATTATGGTTCCACTACCCTAGAAACATATGAAGAGGAACGTATTCGTTTTTATCATTTAAATTTTAATATTTTACTATTATTATTGTTTTCAATTGTTTGTTATATTTTTAATTTTGTGGTTAATTTAATATTTAGTTTGGGTAAATGGTTATATTATATAACTAATGTAAAACCTAGAAAAAAGACAAGGAAATTTGTGTAAAATAAAAACCAAAATTTAATTTAGCACTAAAACATTTATCTTTATGTGCCTCTATTAGGTTAATTATAAATAGTTATAGTCTATCAGTTTGGAGGTCATGGGTTCGATTCTCAGCTGAGACTCTGACACTCAGATAGAAAATTGTCTAAAAGCTTCTTTTAGCGATTTCTCATTTTCTGTTTTTATGAACAATCTAAAAGTACCATTTAAGGTATAAACAAGTAAGAAATTATAGTCGAGCGAGGCCGACCATATAATACCCTCCAAAATTGCGGCCTGTAGTTTGATTACAAGATTTACAAGCCCTATTCGGTGGTTCAGTTATATGGGGGCTTGGTGAAATAATGGACCGATCTTAACCATTTTCAATAGGCTTCGTCCCTGGGACAACATGTACCAGGATCATGTATCAAATTTCATTGAATTATCTTCAAAATTGCGACCTGTAGATTGATTACAAGGTTAACATGGACGGAAGGACGGACATAGCTAAATCGACTCAGAAAATGATTCTAAGCCGATTGGTATACTTTAAGGTGGGTATAGGACCAATATTATTGTGCGTTACAAACATCAGCACAAACCCTCCCCACTAAAGTGGTGTAGGGTACAAAAGTACCAAACAAACCCTTTTTATAAATTCTCATTCAAGCAGATGTGAGTATGTTTAGTTTCATATTTCTATTTTCAATATTATAGAAAATTCCAAAAGTACCATTTGGAGAACGAAAAAGTACCAAAAGTATCTCTATTATGGATCCTCAATGGTTAACGTGGTAGTTCACTGCACGCGAACTGTCAAGTAGTGTCGGAGAGACTCCGTTTTAACCATGCATCCTCATATACTTAAGAAAAGTACCAAAAATATCCCTGTTATGAATTCTCGTTCAATAAGAACCTTATATGTTAAATTTCAAGTTAATAGATTCTTTATTATAGAAATTAAAAGGTACCATTTGAAGCATGAAAAAGTTCCCTCTTATAGACTCTCAACTTACGTATTTTATATGGGTCGGTCTCAGCATGAAGCAAAATAGAACAACAGCCATTTCCGTTCTACGCATGCTGGTGATAATTGGTTATACCTAGTGTTTTTAGATCCTTCCGCAACTGGTCGTCATAATGGTATTTGGGTCGCCCTATTTTTCGCTTTATTCCATCCATTGGTTCCTCCCTATATGATTTACGGGCTGGGACAAGATTATCCATTCTATACGCCATACGTGTCCAAGCCAGTGTAATCTTTGAACTTTAACACGTTTTACTACACTTATGACTACATAGAGCTCATCCTAATTCGGAAGGTATAATCGACACTTATTGGGCCATAGATCTTAGGGAGAATTTTTCTTTAGAACACTTCCAGCGCAGACACATCCAATTTCTTCATTGTCCACGTTTCAGAGCCGTATATAAAAACAAATAAGATAAGCGTTTTGTAGAGTGTTACCCTCGTACGTCGGGAAAGGACTTTGCCTCAAAGTCACCACTTACTTACTTACACTTAGCATGGCATTTCTATAGTAAATTATGTCATATCCGTCTACTGCTACATTTTCTCCGTTAGAAGATTAAAGAACTCGCGCGATAGGGCATCGGCCTTATCTAAAACCTCGATAATATGAAACGAATCTAAGAGGTATGCTCTTATACTTTCGGTATTCTTCAGCGTCATACTGAAAAGCCGAACGATCTTCGTTGGAATACCAAGTATTACTAGTTTTCTTCCGTTTACCTGCTAAAAAAGTACGCAATAGATACCAGAGGTATTTTAGAAAACTATGTCCAAAAAGGCACCAGAACCACTTTTGTTACATATTTCAACATGTAAACGTTCGAATTTCAAAAAAGTACTCCTAAATATTCGAAATTCCAAAAATTCTTTTTATATAGATTTAGCCGTTCGAGTTGTACAATGAGTATTCCTGGGGGTGTAATATCTGGTATAACTTCTCACCCAAGAGTTTTAGACCTAATTTCTACTAATGTCTGGTAATGACAACGAAAGCGTTCTACACAGAAAAAATTAATTTTAAAAAATTTTCAATTAAACGATTAATCAAAAATTTTAAAAGGGTTCAATTCATTTTGTATTTGATTCATAAAAATGTATAATCAAATACGTATTTAACAACAACAAAAATAGAAAAAAATAAAAATTTTGTATACGAAATCAATTATAAGTAGTAATTGAATATACAATTTTTGTTATAGGTTGAACTTCAAAAAATAAAATAATTGAAAACGAGGTTTTGGTAATTGAAATCGTTTTTCAGTTTTTTCTGTGTAGACTTGAACTATTCTCTCCTTATACTCTACATTCGTCTAAATTCGTTTGTTCAATTTTGTATATAGTAATTGTGCCCGTAATCCAGCACATTCTAAGGAAGCTTCACGTCCTCCTTTCATTTAGGTCTCTCTATGGGTTGAATTCTCTCGTTACTTCGAACAGTTTTGCTTTATTCTTCCTCGATTTCCCTTTTCTTTATAGCAAGTGCATTCGCTTTTTCTCTTTCGACTGTGTGTGCACTCAGAATATGAATCATCATACTAACTTGCTCGTTCTGAGAAGAATTTTCATCTCGTTCCCCATTATTCCCAACTGATCTAGTACCCCCCTTATCACATGATAAGACCTTCTGGCTTTTCGGACTTCTGCCGGCCACGCTCGTTTTGTATCCCAGTAGTGGTTTTTATTTCCATCCGGGGTATACTAAGTCTATGCGGGCGCATCAACGATCTGCTTCCTTTGACTATTACACTGCTTGTGTCATCGGTATTCTATTGGGTTTTATAAACTTCGAGAATAGTTGTTATATTCTTTAGGGAAAACAATAGCAATGTTTCAGCTTTTGATTGATTGATACAATCCGACCAAGGAAACAATCCGACGAGATAAAGCTATTGAAACCTATGGTCTACGGTGAGATAAAAACTTCGGCTCTCGGCCAGTTAACTACAAGTTTCAACTACTGTAATAACACGAAGAAAGAAGACATTTAAGAGGACATTTACCAAAATATTAAGAGGATGTGTTCCATGCAAATAAAAACGACTTTTGTATATATTTTATATATTTATTGCAAATAAGGAAATTAAAGAAATCATAATAATTATTTATTTTGGCACATATTTGAAGAATATTTAAACAAGAAATAAAATATAGATTATAAAAGTAATATTTAAATGAAAGTTCTACAAAGTGTAAAGTTTTTACAACACACACCAGGAGATTTGAATTACCGAAACCAAAGATCGACTAAAATTGGAATCTTTGAAAATTTAATTCTATAGAATCCGGTATTTCATGCTTTAAACTTCCATTTTTACAAAAGAAAATAAAAGAAAATTATAAGTATTTAAAGAAAAATCTTAAAATAATCTAAGAATGGCAGTATAAAAATTGTAAAATCTCTAAGACGACTAACAATTCGCGCACATATTACTGCCTTTCTATAATGATAGAATTTCCTATTGAAAATTCTACTCTCGGCAAAAATTTCCATTCAATTTAGTAAAATTCGTTAAACCTTCTACATAAAGCCAAAATCGTCATCTTTTAATCATTAACACTAATTTGTTCGTTTTTTTTCGTTGTTTTTTTTTTCGCCATCTTTTAACTAATTCAAAGGACAGACACCCTGCCAGATCTCACCATTAATGAGATTTGGTGTAACACGTACAGTCTTCTTATTGACCTGGACATTGCGTATGCAACCCTTAAATGTTTTGCGTGTCTTCAAGCCAGGAGCCTTATTAAAGGCCTGATGACCACCCATGAAGAGAGGACGATTGGTCTTAGTGACGGTGGAACCTTCTTGGCCAACACCAGGCTTAGCTGAAATCCAGTCCACGGAAATAGTAATAACAAACTTAGATTTCACTGCTTGTACATTGCGCCACTTGCCATCACAGAAACTGCCATTATCGGGCAGACTGTAGGTGGTTGTGACAATATTTTTGGCATCTGACTTAACGGTAAACCACAATTGATTGTCTACCAATTCCAAAATCAAATAAGAACTCTTGCCATGTACCGAGAACAAAAGACCATCTGGTTCACGGGGTCTAAAGTCAAAGTTCAAACTGAAATCGGTACCCACACTGAAACGTTCGAAAAGTTTAACATAACCAGTGGGTTTATTAAAGAAGAGGCCAGGTTCAATTTGTTCGGAACAGGGTACTGTTAGGAAAGGTTGTAGCTCGGGCTCTTGAGTCTGACCATTAACCTTAAAGTCTCTTAAACAACCATTGTAATAAGGTGCATCTTCTCCTAGATCTACATTGGAACGCACCATCTCCTCGATATGTTTAGGTATGCCACCCACAAACAGCGGGAAATCAATGTTAATCAAATGGGTGTTGCGTTCTTCGAAATCATGGAATGTTTCCTGATCATTAATAATCAAGCTGACCTTACGTTGAGTCCTTATAAATTGTATGGTATGCCATTCACCATCGTTCATTTCGCTCGAGCTATTCACCGAGATAACTTGACCACCCAAACGTACCTTATGATAGAGGATACCATCACTTAGGTATACAGCCACATAATCGGTATGATGTTTGTCAGCACCATAGAACAGAAGACCTGAAGGATACTCTGTACGGAAGCTGAGGCTTAGATCGTAATGTTTGCGTATTTTAGCATGCGGCAATGAGGGAATTTCCAAACGTTGCTCACGCATGGAGAAGAAACGATAGCCGGCTTCGCTAGCATCAACATCATAGTTGGGATTTGTTGGTAGTTTACAACGAGGATCTTCTGGTTTGTGCAGTTCATGAATGATTACTGGTTTGCGTACAACTACTTCGGGTTTAATATTAAACACTTCTGGTTTAGTAGTTATAATCTCTTTGTGATCCTCATCGATGGC